CTGTAAAAACTATGATTTGCCCACATTTTTACCCAACTTTATATGATTGGTAATTCGTCTACCACGTATATGCTTTGTTGATATCTGACAAAAGTGGACAATTCTTTTCCATCAAGTTTGCTGGAATGTTTTATATTTGTCTCTGGATAATTTTGAAATTGAATTATTTTCAGGAACTAGCTAGGATAGTAACCCTTATAAATAGCATGCAAGTGGATTCTAACATTGTAGAGTTAGTTTTGTAAATATTGCTTTTATGAACTAGGCAGTGCATATGGCCTCCACTCAAGTTGCACTGAATATTGTTTATTCTTTTATTTTTATTTTTTTGAAAGTATGTTTATTAAAGCTGGGAACAGTGAAACAGGAAGGGCTTAGGACAGAAGAAGCAACAGGAGAGAGCCCACGTGGGGCTGCTTTGGCTCCTTAGAAAAGTGACAGTGAAAGAAGTGAGCTGTGCCCTGGCTGGTTTGGCTCAGTGGTTAGAGTGTTAACCCTCAGACCCAAGAGTCGCGGGTTCAATTCCGTCAAGGGTATGTACCTTGGTTGTGGTTTGGTCTCAGCCCTGATTGGGCTGGGGTCCTGTGGGAGGCAACCGATCCATGTGTCTCTCTCACATCAGTGTTTCTCTCTCTCCCCCTCCCACTCTGTCTGAAAATAAATGGAAAAATACCCTCCGGTGAGGATTTAAAAAAAAGAAAGAAAGAAGGAAGTGAGCTAAGGCGGGGCTGCTGTCAGCTCACTGGAAAGTCAGAGAAAAGGGGCCTTGGGGACAGGTTCAGGGGGTTACCCATTGCTTTCCTGGTGGCAAGTCTTGTGGGGGGTCCCTTAGAGTTTAGGAGATTCACACCCGTGGAGTAAGAAGAGTGGGGGAGAAAAGGCACAGACATGCTCCCCAGCGGGAGAGCCGAATATTGTTTATTCTTGATGAGCATGTTTGGAACGTACCGGGTACTTCCTGGATTCTGGCCTGGATGAAAAATGATTCCCTGCCAGGGATCCTTTGCCCCATAATTTTTTTTCAGCTCAACTCTAGGTGTTTGGGCTATAGGTAACTGTGTTTTGTTATTGTTTAGTTTTCTTTCTCAGTAAAATTTTGTCATTGTCAATGTGTCTTGTTTTTTTTTCTTTTTTAAACTTATCTTTATTGTTGAATGTATTACAGATGTCCTTCTTTTTTACCCCCTGGACCCCCTCTTCCCCAATCCAGCCCCCCTCCTGCTTTCCCCACACTAGTGTCTGTGTCTTTTGGTTATGCATGTAAGTTCTTTGGTTTCTTTCTTCCTGCCCCACCTCCCTCCTTCCCTTTGAGGTTCATCAGTCTAACAACCAGTTTGTACTTCCTAATCCTTTCTTCTTTTTCACCCAACTCCCCTCCCATCTGGCAACCAACAAAAAGTTCTCTGTATCTATGCATGTTTCTGTTCTGCTTGCTCATCTTGTTTGTAGGTTCAATTGTTGATAGATATGTATGTATTGCCATTTTATTGTTCATGTTTTTTTATCTTCAAGAAGATTCGTCAGCGTTTTATATAATACTGATTTGGTGGTGATAATCTCTTTGGCTTTTTCTTCTCTGGGAAACTCTTTATATGGCCATTGATTCTATCCTCACCCGAGGATATTTTTCCATTTTTTGTACAGATAGAGTGGGAGGGAGAGAGAGGAAGGGAGAGAGAGAGAAACATCGACATGAAGGGACACATCGAGTGGCTGCCACCCGCACGACCATCCAGGGCCGGGGACAAACTGCAACCGAAGTACGTGCCCTTAGCGGGAACCGAACCCGGGTCTCTCCGGACCGCAGGCCGACGCTCTAACCGCTGAGCCAAACTGGCCAGGGCTGGCCACTGATTCTAAATGATAGCTTTGCAGGATAGAGTAGTATTGGTTGTAGGTCCTTGCTTTTCATCACTTTACATATTTCTTGCCACTCCCTCCTGGTCTGCAAAGTTTCTTTTGAGAAATTAGCTGACAGTTTTATGGGAACTCCATTGTAGGTAACTTAGCTGCTTTTCTCTTGCTGCTTTTAAGACTCTCTCTTTGTCTTGAACCTTTTGCATTTTGATTATGATGTGTCTTGGTGTGGGCCTCTTTGGGTTCATCTTGTTTGGAACTCTCTGTGCTTCCTGGACTTGTATGTCTGTTTTCTTCACCAAGTTAGGGAAGTTTTCTGTTATTATTATTATTATTTTTTTATTTTATTTTTTTTGTACAGATAGAGTGGGAGGGAGAGAGAGACAGAGAAACATCGACGTGAAAGGGACACATCGAGTGGCTGCTACCCGCACGACCAACCAGGGCCGGGGACAAACTGCAACCGAAGTACGTGCCCTTAGTGGGAACTGAACCCGGGTCTCTCCGGACTGCAGGCCGACGCTCTAACCGCTGAGCTAAACCGGCCAGGGCTGTTATTATTATTTTAAATAGGTTTTCAATTTCTTGTCCTCTGTGGTCTCCTGGCACTCCCATGATGCAAATGTTGGTAGGCTTGGAGTGGTCCCACAGGCTCCTTACACTATGCTCATTTTTTTTTTTTTTATCCTCACCTGAGGACATTTTTCCATTTTTTTGTTCAGATAGAGTGGGAGGGAGAGAGAGAGAGAGAGAAACATCAATGTGAAGGGACACATCGAGTGGCTACCACCCGCACGACCAACCAGGGCCGGGGACAAACTGCAACCGAGGTACACGCCCTTAGCGGGAACCGAACCCGGGTCTCTCCGGACCGCAGGCCGACGCTCTAACCACTGAGCCAAACCGGCCAGGGCTATACTCTTTTTTTTTGGATTCTTTTTTCTTTTTGCTGTTCTGATTTGGTGTGTTTTGGTTCCTTAAATTCCAAAATCGATGGTTTGCTTCTTGGCTTCGCCTACTCTACTTTTTTTTTTTTCTCTATTGATTTCCTGTAAATTATTCTTTATTTCAGTTAGGGCATCCTTCATTTCTGACTTGTTCTTTATGATGCTCTTGAGGCCCTCACTAAGTTCATTGAGCATCCTTATAAGCAGTGTTTTGAACTTGGCATCTGTTAGGTTGCTTATCTCCATTTCATTTAGTTCTTTTTCTGGTGTTTTGTTCTGCTCTTTTATTTGGGACCTCTCTTTTTGTCTCCTCATTTTGGCTGCCTCCCTGTGTTTGTTTCCATGTAGGTAGAGTTGCTATGTCTCCTGGGCTTCCTAGGGTGGCCTGTTGTAGTAGGTGTCCTGAAGGGTCCAGTGGCACAGACTGCCTGATCATCCAGCTGGACCCTCATAGTGCACCTCTCATGTGGACTTTACACCCTTCTGTTGTAATTGAGTCTTGATTGCTGTTGGCATATCAATGGGAGGGTTTTACTCAGGCTGATCAACTGCAAGTTCCGGCTGTGCCCACTGACCACCGACCTCTGACTACCTTGGAGGCTCAGCTGTGTAGGAGCAGAGCAAGACTTACTTCGCAGGGCTCTGGTACCCCCTGAGTCCATTCCTTGAGTGTGTCACTTGTGGAGGTGGTTGAGTGGTGGTGCTTCAACGTGTTCTGAAGCTGTCCACCGGGTGTGCTAGCTCTGGGGCAAGGTCAGCCACTGCCTGTGCTCTACCCGGGGCCATCAGGCATAAGCTACAAAGTGATCTGCAGGTGGCTGCTTCTTGTACTGGGCTTGGAGTTGCCCAGACAAAGCCAAGCTGTGAGCCAAGGCCCGCTGCTGGTAGTGCCAGGCCTGGGGCCACTTAGCAAGAGGTATAGGCTCACTGTGGCCAGATGCTGCTTGTTTGAGAGAATTTAGGAAAATCTGAAACAGGACCCAAAACAGGCCAATCCTATGGGAAAGCCACTGGAAACAGTTTGGGTGGGCCTCAAAGCTGGGTGGGGCAGGGCCTCTGGGAATCACCAGAGCCAGGCAAACAGTAGGAGCCAGGATGCTGGAGTCCCGGATATGGCTGCCATCTGCCGGCCCATGGGAGAGGGGCTCACCAAAGAACAAAGACCTCCACCAGCACATCTGTCCAGGAGAAAGCTACCTCTCCAGTCCTCCCCCACTGATGCCAAACAACTCAGTTCTTCCCCATATGTCTCTAGTGCCTTTCAAGCTGCCTCCCCTCCATGCTAGAGCTCAGAGGGAGCTTGTCCAAGTAAGTCAGTGTGTGGGCCCTTTAAGGAGGAACTGCCTGGGGCTCCAGCAGCCTCAGCCTCCCTCAGCCTCAGTTCCCTCTGGTTTTACAGCCAAAAGTTGTGGGGACTTCTCTTCCTGGCACTGGAACCATGAGCTGGGTGCTTGGTGTGGGAGGGGGACCCCTCACTCCTCAGGGAGGACCTTCCCAGAGAGGTGTCCTCCTGATTTTTATCTGCCATGGGTGTGGGACCAGCTAGTCCATGCCTCTGCCCCTCCTACCAGTCTCCGAGTGGCTTCTTTAATTTCGTAGTTGTAGGACTTCCATTCAACTCAATGACAGGCGGTTCTGAAGGATGTTTGTTTCGTAGTTTAGTTGTAATTTTGATGTGGTTGCGGGAGGAGGGGATACCGTGTTCACCTGCATGGCCGTCTTGACCAGTTCAGTGTGTCTTGTTTTATCATCTTGGTTTTTAATTTCTCTTATGATGTTCTCATTGCTGTCTTATTTCTCCAGTATTTTCTTACATATTTTTGAAATACTCATTTTCTTCTAGTGGAGCTGAAGGAATTTTAAATAATTCTTTAGCACTAATCTTCCAGTTACTAGTCTATTCTATATCCAGCATCTGATGGGGGTGATTGAGGAATGCCAAACTGCATCTGGAGTGGAGTTGTGGGACTGACTTGAAGGGAGAATGAGAATGAGACTTTGTAGTACCCTGTTGGTTGTGCACACTTGGGTTGGCTGTCCTTTTATTCCTTTTTTCCCTCAAGGAATGGCTTTTAAAAGAATTTTTAGTGGTGAAATTTGTGGCCTTAGTTATTCCACATCTTGGGATATGAAATGTATATGGGTCTTTGCTTTAAAAACTTTCTTTTTAAAATTTTGATGTTTTGACTTTCTTAGATGTAAAACGAAGATCAGGAACCGATTTGAAGAAATGCAGAGTGAATTGGTGCCAGTCAGCATGTCAGAGACAGAGCACGTAGCCTCTGATAAAAATACTGGGAAAACATCTGAACTAAAGGAAGACTCATGCAACTCGTTTTCTGGGGATGAAAGCAGCAGCTTAGAAAATGAGTCCAAACTATTGTTGTTAAACTTTGATAAAACTTCATGTCAGCCTAATGAACACAATAATCAAGTTGAAGCACAGGAAAATTATATGCCAGATCATGGTGGAGGTGAGGATTCTTGTGCTAACACAGACGTATGCCCAGAAAATTCTGAACAAGTAGCTAATTTTCCTGATGGAGATTTTACAAAGCAAGTTTTGAAAACAAATGAAACCGAACAGACAGTAAGTCAAATATTGGCTGAATTGAGGTCATCTACATTTACAGAAGCAGCTAGTCAAAAGACATATTCAGAAAGTCCCTATGATACAGACTGCACCAAGAAACTTATTTCAAAAATAAAGAATGTTTCAGCCTCAGAAGATTTGTTAGAAGAAATAGAATCTGAGCTCTTATCTACGGATTTTGCAGAACACCGAGTACCAAATGGGATGAATAAGGGAGAGCATGCATTAATTATGTTTGAAAAGTGTGTGCAAGATAAGTATTTGCAGCAGGAGCATACCATAAAGAAGTAAGTTTTTTATATTTCAGGGTGTTTTTTTTTCCCCACAGAGATTAACGATGGCATTCTTTAACAGGAAGATACCATCTTGTCCACTTTTAATTCCACAATAGAGTCATGCACATTGTAGTTGATTAACAGATACGTGTTTACTGAATAATTAAGCAAATGTCAAGTTTGTGTAGTTACTTAATTTATGTCTTTTTTTTTTAGAATGTAGTATTTTTTATTATAGAAATAATAGGTATGCATCAGTTTTTATATGGGGTGGTCAAAAGTAGGCTTACAGTTATAGTACAAATAAATAATATAGTAATTAATAAATAATACAAGAGTAGACTTTTTATATACTCACAACTGTAAACCTACTTTTGCCCACCCCTGTATATACTGTACCTCTGTCATACAGTAACACATATAAACATGGATATATAAAATCAATATTTTGAATATGATTCACAATTTCTTTGTTTTATGTCTAATATGTAAGTCTAAAGGAATATTTTATTAAAAGGTGTAGTGTATTAAAGATATAAAAATATTTATAAAAACAACAAATTTTTTAGTTTTAAAAGAATGTAGAGCATAATATTGTCAAAAGTAAGAGTAATTCAAAATGAATAAGTCATAAAATTCAAATTTTTTTCTTAAAATCTTCAATGTAAATTTATTGTTTCAAAAAATTAAAATTTAGACAATAGAAGTTTTGGTTAATTATCATTCAGTAATAAGAACATGGTTATTTTTAGACTTCTTGTATTTGCGGAGTTAATTTCTATTTTAACAAGTGTAATTTCACTTTATCTTTTTCTAATAGTTTTATATCACCCTGTATTTTTATTTTAGATGTATATATGTAAGTGATGCATATGTTTAGGTATTCTTTTATAACCTTTAAGAAAGGAAAATAAAACATGCTCTCCTTCACTAAAATACAGGCTCACTCTCTTTTTTAAAAATGATACTTGAATGAGAGGTGTGTGTGTAAAGAAAGGGGAGGAGGGGGTTTACATACCAGAGGAGGATGACAGAAGAAAATATAGCATAATTCAAATATTGCTGGGTATGTAATTGGCCTTTAATGATAGCTTGCTTTCAGTCTTGACTGTTTCAGATTATCTTCCTCAGTGGATCAAACCAATTTATCCTTCATTGGTTTATCCAGAGCCCCTCCTATTTTTTTTTTTTTAATTGTCATAAAATACACAACATAAGTTTTAAAGTATAAAATTGGGTAGTGTTAAGTATATTGTATTCACATTGTTGTGCAACCGATCTCCATAGCTTTGTCATCTTGTAAATCTGAAACTCTGTATCCATTAAACAACTCTGTATTTCCCCCTTCTCCCAGCCCTTAGTAACCACCATTCTACAGTTGACCCTTGAACAACATGAGTTTGAACTATGTGGGTCTATTTTTATATTGGTTTAAAAAAAATGTACAGTACTGTGAATGTATTTTCTCTTCCTGTGATTTTCTTAGCATTTTCTTTTCTCTAGCTTTATTGTAAGAAAACGATATATAATCCATCTAACATACAAAATATCTGTTAATTGACTGCTTGTGTTATCAGTAAGGCTTCCAGTCAACAGTAGTCTATTAGTAGTTAAGTTTTTGGGGAGTCTAAAGTTATACATGGGTTTTCAACTGCCCCAGGGTCTGTGCCCCACCCCCATATTTTTCAAGTCAACTGTATTTTGTTTCTAAGAGTTTTACTTCTCTGGTGCTTCACATAAATGAAATCATACAGTAATTTGCCTTTTTGTGAACAGCTTATTTTACTTAGCAGATGTCTTCAGGGTTTTTTCATGCTGTAGCATGTGTCAGAATTTTCTTCCCTTTTAAGTCCAAATAATATTTCATTGTATGTATTACCACATTTTATCCATTCATCCATCAGTGGACATTTGGGTTGCTTCTACCTTTTGGCTGTTGTGAATAATGATTCTGTGAATCTGAGTGTACAAATCTGTTTTGAGACTCCAAGACCTTTTAAATACTACCCCAAAACTAATGGCTGCTGTTCCTACTCATATTCTTCCTGGAGTGCTGCCATTGTGAATAAACTATGTGACTTTGTACTTGAACCATCAGTGTTGCTGCCATTTTTGCTCTTTTAGGGTAACTTCCTCGTTTTCCTATCTCTGCCTATTCTTTTAAATCTTTTCTTTGAGATTATCCTAGATGCCTCTTCCTACTTTCCTTAGATCCGGACTATTAATTACTTTCATGGCTTGTAAATTATAAGATATGCATTTAATAATAATGGCAGCAAACACTTAATGTGCTATTGATTATGTGCTGGTACTTTACATATATTAACTCATAGACTCCTCACAACAACCCTATTTGGTATGAACTGTTATTATTTTACAGATGAGGTATCTGAAGCAAAAAAAGATTAATTAAGCATTTATTTAAGGGCACATGCTAGTAAATGGCAAAGTTAAAGTCTGAGCCCAGTTAATCTGGTTTCAGAGGGTTTTTAATGTGGTATCTGAAATGAATTAGTTACAAGTTACTACTTCACTATGTTTATAATGTTTCTAGATCAATGAATTCCTCTCTTTTACTCTATCCTGTCTGAACAGTGGCAGCATGGTAGAACTGGGGTAAGCACAGTTAGGTCAGAGTCCCAGAGTTGGAAGATGCCCACCGCCAAGTGCGAGCTCTTGTTCATTGGACAAATCAACCTCTTTGAGTCAGAGATTTTTCTTCTGTGTGAGGGGGATGATACTTACCTGATGAGATTGTTTTGTTTATATTAAGGCATTATAAAAATGTCAGATATTCTCATTTTAAATATAAGTTAATCTTTTGCCCTGGCCGGTTTGGCTCACCGGTTAGAGCGTTAGCCTGCGGTCCGGAGAGACCCGGGTTCAGTTCCCGCTAAGGGCATGTAACTTGGTTGCAGTTTGTCCCCGGCCCTGGTTGGGTCGTGCGGGTGGCAACCACTCGATGTGTCCCTTTCACGTCGATGTTTCTCTCTCTCTCTCTCCCTCCCACTCTATCTGAACAAAAAATGGAAAAATGTCCTCGGGTGAGGATTAAATATAAGTTAATCTTTTGTTACACACATACTGTTTTTAATTCCTAATTAAATGCTTTGTGGCTTAGGTTAGCTCTGAAACTGCCTTTTAGTTCCTTTGGCTTAAGTTTTCATGAATGCTACATTTTTCTCTCTCCCAAATATTTGCATGACTTGCTTACTGCAGTCCTGTGGTCCTTAGGCCTACCTTGAGACTACCTTATCTAAAAATCTCAGCTCAAGTTACTCTCTGTCCTTGTACCTTCCTTGAGTTTTGTCACTAGGACTTAATCACTACCTGGGATTTTATTATATATCTATATGTTGTTTACTTCAATATTCTCCCATAGAATCTCAGCTCCATGTGGGCAGGGACAGTTTGCTGATGGACTTTTAACATGCAGAAAAATATACGTATACAGCAGTTACCCAGTAAGCCTTTGTTAAGTGAAGCAGAGTTCTTCATAGTAGAAGATGTAAAGACCTGGGCTATAGAATTGTACCTGGGGTCAAATCTCTGTTCAAGCACTTACTAGCTGTATGAACTAGAACAAGTTCTAGGCTTCAGTGTTTTTTGTTTGTTTGTTTTTTAAATATATTTTTATTGACATTTTTAGAGAGGGAGAAGGACAGGGAGAGAGACATTGATGTGAGAGCCATTGGCTGCCTCCTGCATGCCCCCTAGTGAGGGTCAAGGCCGCAGCCCCAGGCATGTTCCCTGACTTGGAATTGAACCAGCAACCCTTTGATGCATGAGACAACGCCTAATCAACTGAGCCACACAGGCCAGGGCTTGTTTTGTTTTTTAAAATTCATGAAAAAAAAAAAATTATTATTTCATAGACATTAATTGCATAGACTGTTGAATATTAAATGAAATAATGCATTTAAAGCTAAACTTAATAAATAGTAATTATGCAATACATTATTCAGTCCTAAAATATCAGCTGTTAATCTTGTTAGACACCTTACCTTACTGCAGGTAATTCTTAAGGTTTTATTTATACTTTTCTAGGGAACTCAGAATGAAACTTCTGCTTAAGCTTTTGTTATTTTACATTGACTACTCTTATATAACTATTAAAAAGTATCATTATTTTAAAAATCTAAGGCAAGATTTCTCAACCTTAGCACTATTGACATTTGGGTGTAGGTCATTCTTTGTTAGTGTGGGGCTGTCTTGTACATTGTAATATGTTTAGCAGCATCTCATAAGAAGCCAGTATGGCAACCACCACTCCTGCTGTAGCAACCCAGAATGTCTCCATACAAATGCGTGGAGGGGCCAAATTGCCGCTGGTTGAGAACTGTTCATCAGAAAGGGTTCGAGTGCGGAAGGGATGAAGTACATAATTGAGAGGCCCAAAGACATAAACTTAAAAGACCATGGTGTTCTTTATCTGAGTATATTCACTTGATTTGAAATATAGAAATTTCTAGGAAAATGTTAACAGCCCGACGGGCCAGAGAATGTTTTTTACAAAGTGTAATGTGTCATTATGAAAGGGTTACTTAGGAATGTCAATTTATTAATAAGTATCTATACCCTAATTTGCAAACATTATATTCCATATCTCCTTTTTAAATTGTTTTACTGCCTTTTTCATATTTAGGTTAATTAAAGAAAATAAGAAGCATCAGGAACTCATCCTAGACATATGTTCAGAAAAAGACACTTTAAGAGAAGAACTAAAAAAAAGAACAGAAACAGAGAAGCAGCATATGAACACAATCAAACAGGTAAAAAGACAAATCTTTAAAGACTACATTTCTATTTATAAAATAAATAAGTTACATTCCTGGAAATTTGTGTATAAATAAAAGTTTTGTATTTTAAATTAGAGGGTTGCTTGGTATGTAAAGCATTCTCTTTTATGAAATGGGAATCAATTTTTTTATGTAATATGTGTCACTGTATTCTATTATATATGGTGGAAATCTGAGAAGAAAAGACTTTTTGATTTGGCAGTCATTAGATTTTTTACCAAATAAAGGAAGAAAAGTTATATACATTTTGGTGCCCGGGAGGACGCCCATCTAACTGAGCCACACTGGCCAGGGCTATTGGACTTCTTGATTATAGCCATCTTAATGGGTGTGAAGTGGTATCTTGTGGTTTTGATTTGCATTTCCTTAATGACCAATTAATTGTTGTTCATTTATATATCTTAGATACTTCTGAGTAAATATCTATTTAAATCCTCTGCCCATTTTTTTGTTTATTTTTTTATTGTTGAATTGTGATAGTTTCTTTTTATATTCTGGATTATAAATCTTTATCAGATATATGATTTGCGAATATCTTCTCCCATTCTGTGGGTGGTGTTTTCACTTTCTTGATAGTGTACACTGAAGTACAAAATTTTTAAATTATGATGTCTATTTATGTGCATTTTTATTTTATTGCTTGTGCAGTTGCTGTCATATGCAAGCCTGCATTGCCAAATCTAAGATCATGAAGATGATCTTTTTTTTCTCTTAAGAGATTTAAAAAAAATTATTTATTTAACCCTTACCTGAGGATATTTTCCGTCTATCTTCAGATAGAGTAGGAGGGAGGGGAAGAGAGAGCGAGACGTCCATGTAAGAGAAATACATTGACCGGTCGTCTCCCACACAACCCCTACCAGGACTGGGGACACCGAGGTACATGCCCTTGACTCCCTGGTCCTTGGCCAATGCTCTAACTGTTGAGCCGAACCGGCCAGGGCTCTCTTAAGAGATTTTAATTTGGCTTTTATATTCAGGTTTTGATTCATTCTGAGTTACTTTTTGTATTTGGCATGATGTAAGTGTCCAACTTCATTCTTTTGCATGTGGCTATCCAGTTCTCCCAGAACCATTTGTTAAAAAGACTGTTTGTTCTTCCTCTACTGAATGGTCTTGGCATTCTTGTTGAAAATAAATTGATAAATGGGTTTATTTCTAGACTCTAGATTCTGTTTCATTGATCTGTATGTCTGTCATTATACCAGTGCCACCCCCTCTCGATTCCTCTTGTTTTGTAGTAAGTTTTGAAATTGTGAAGTGTGAGTTCTTGAGTTTTGTTCTTTTTTTTTTCAAGATTGTTTGGCTGTTATTTGTTCTTTGTATTTCTGTATGACTTTTACTATCAGCTTCTCATTCTGCAGTAAAGCCAACTGGGTTTTTGTTAGAGATTGCATTGAATCTGTAGACTCATTTGGGGAGTGTTACCATCTTAAAAATATCAAGTCTTTCCATTCATGAACACAGGATGCCTTTCCATTTATTTAGATCTGTAATTTTTTTCAAGTGTTTTATAGTTTTTAGACTGTACATTTTACACTTCTTTTGTTAAGTTTATTCCTAGGTAATCTGTTATTATTTATTTATTTATTTATTTATCCTTACCCGAGGACATTTTTGCATTTATCTTCAGATAGAGCAGGAGGGAGAAAGGGAGGAAGAGAGAGAGAAACATCAACGTGAGAGAGACACATCAAGTTGTTGCCACCCACACGACCACAACCGAAGCCGGGGATAAACTGCAGCCGAGGTACGTGCCCTTAGCGGGAACCAAACCCGGGACTCTCTGGTCCACAGGCTGACGCTCTAACCGCTGAGCCAAACCGGCCAGGGCAGTAATTTATTATTTTTGATGCTGTTGTAAATGAATTGTTTCTTTAATTTCATTTTCAGATCATTAAAAGTATAGATACAATTTTTTTTATATTTTGTAACTTTGCTGAACTAATTTATTATTTTTAAATATTTTTGTGAATTTCTTAGGATTTTCTAAATATAAGATCATACCATCTAAAAATAAAAGGTGCTGCTTCTTCCTTTCTAATCTGGGTGCTTTTTATTTTGTTTCCTGCCCGATCACCCTAAGAACAGGGTGAAGAAGGATATCTGCCCACTCTTGCTACTTCTCTTACCCTGTTCTAGGGAGAGGGCCTTCAGTCTTTCGTCATTAAGGACAGTGTTAAGGGTTTTTTACAGATGCTCTTTATCAGGTTGAAGAAATTACTTTTTATTCCTAATTTGTTGAGTGTTTTTATTTGAAAGTGTTGAATTTTGTCAAATGCTTTTTCTGCATCTATTGAGATGATATGGTGTATAATTCTTTTTATATATTACAGGATTCGTTTATTTTGTTGATAATTTTTCCATCTATATTTATGAGACATACTGGTCTTATAGCTTTCTTTTCTTGTGATGTCTTTGTCTGGTTTTGGTGTCCAGGTAGTATTGACCTCATAGAGTGAGTTGGAAAATGCTCCTTCTTTTGGGAGGGAGAGTTTGTGAGAAATTGGTATCAATTCAATAAATGTTTGATAGAACTTACCTGTAGTCACTTGGGCCTGAATTTTTCTTTGTGTGTAGTTTTTTATTTTTTGATGACGAATTCAATCCCTTATTATAGGTTTATTCAGATTTTCTGTTTCTTCTTGAGCCACTCTTAGTAGAAATTGTTTATTTCATCTATAAATTGTTTATAGTACTCATAAAATTCCTTTTAAAAAAATATTTTTGTTGTTGTTGTTGTTTTGTTTTTTCATCCTCACCAGAGGACATTTTTCCATTTTTTGCACAGATAGAGTGGGAGGGAGAGAGAGGAAGAGAGAGAGAGAGAGAAACATCTATGTGAAAGGGACACATCGAGTGGCTGCCACCCGCATGACCGACCAGGGCCGGGGACAAACTGCAACCAAGGTACGTGCCCTTAGCGAGAACCGAACCCGGGTCTCTCAGGACCGCAGGCCGACGCTCTAACCGCTGAGCCAAGCCCTGGCCGGTTTCACATCAATGTTTCTCTCTCTCTCTGTTCCTCTCTCTCCCTCCCACTCTACCTGAACAAAAAATGGAAAAATGTCCTCGGGTGAGGATAAAAAAAATTTTTTTCTTTATTGATTTTTTTTTTTTTTTAGAGAGAGAGCAAGGGAGAGAGAGATAGAAACATCAGAGAGACAGCATCGATTAGCTGCCTCTTGCATGCCCCCCACTGGGGATTTGGTCTACAACCTGGGCATGTGCCCTGAGCCGGAATTGGTCCAGTGACCTCTTGGTGCATGGGTCAACACTCAACCACTGAGCCACACCAGCTGGGCTTATATGATTATTTAATCTACTTTCATTTAATGTTGTTATTATTATTATTATTATTATTATTGCATTTATCTTCAGATATCGTGGGAATGAGAGAGGGAGGAAGAGAGAGAGACAGAGAGAAACATCAATGTGAGAGAGACACATCGATTGGTTGCCTGCTGCAACACATCGAACTGCAGCCCAGGTAGGTGACCTTGACCGAAATCAAACCCATGTCTCTGGTCTGTGGGCTGGTGCTCTAACCGCTGATCCAAACTGGCCAGGACCATAGTAATTACTCTTTAGCTTACCATCCATCTTATCAGAATCTGCTATAGATTTATACTAACTTAATTCTAATGAGATACAGAAACAGTGCTAACAGTTACATTCATTGCATTCTTTGTGTTTATTTACATTGTTTAGGTTTATTTGAGGTATTGGTGGTCTGTTTGATACAGCTATAAAAATAATCTGGAAATAATTTTTTTTACAGTTAGAATCAAGAATAGAGGAACTTAATAAAGAAATTAAAGCTGCCAAAGATAAACTAACAGCTCAAGATACTGCAGCTAAAAATGCAGTTCAGCAGTTGCACAAAGAAATGGCCCATCGGATGGAACAGGTATTTTTCAAGTCATTATTATTAACTTTCTGATGATTCTTTCTTGTTTATTAAAGCAAACTAATCCTGTTAGATGATTTTGGATATCAATGGTATTTAAAAATTAACTTTTTAAAAAATGTTAAAACAATACGTAAATAATTTGCTACCTACACAAATTAATTTAATAAACTAAGGAAATGTGTGGGATAAAAAAATGAAAGCCCTCCTTCATCTGCACTTCTCCCTTCCTGCTCCCAACCCCTGTACATCCCATTCCTTGTTCCATAGCTAATAATTGGTATTTTGATTATGTATCTTATTGCATATGCATGTACAGGTTACATACATTGATACATTTTTTTCCCTACTTGATCAGAATCTTATTGTACATCTTTTTTTGGTAACTATTTTTTCCCCCTTCTTAATATACCTAATAATTTTAGTTGCCTATTGAATCCTGTTGATTATCTTGTCCATGCTTTGTCTTCATGAAAGTCAGTGATAAACATCTTAAACTGGCTGGCTTCTCTTCCTTTATCTGTGCCGTAAATGAACTGACGTAATACTCCCAACAATCCTGTGAAGTGGGTCCTGCCATTATTTAGGGTGGGGCTTGGAAATGTGAACTTTCAGCATCCCAGGTTATTCTCTTGCAGCTGATCCACAGAAGACTGAGTAGCAGGACATTCTGGTGCATATTCCCTGCTGTAATGAAGAACCTCATCTATTTTATTTTACCTTATCTGTTGTAATTGTCTTATTTCTGCTTCTTAGCTCTCAACTTCAATGACATTTCCATGAAGCTACTAGTTTTCCTATTAAAATACACATTTAATAAAAGGTTCTGATTTATAAATCCTTATTTGGCTTCCCATTGCCTATAGCATAAAATCTCAAATCATTAGCATGATAAAAGAATATTTTTTCTTTTCAGGATCTATTCTCTGCCTTACTTGGTTTTATAACTACTTCCTCCCTACTCCAGCCAACACACTAAATTAAAACTCTATAAAATAACTGGATGTCTTCTAAGTATATCTGCTATTTTATGCTTTTAGGCATTTGCACATGATAATCACTGTAGCTTGAATTCCTTTCCTTGACTAACCCCTTGTATTTTATTGAATCATAGTAACTGTCAATATCTAGCTCAAGTATAGCACTATTTCAAGAATGGCATCTTTTACCCTTTATGCCAGCTCTTCCCGGGGATTGTTACATTTGTACATTCATTCACTAGAAATTTTATTTTATTATAATATTTGTTTATATATTGTTCTTACTAGGCAATGAACTAATCCATTATGTGAGCATTAAGTTATTGTGTGAAATCAAACTTCTTTTAAAGTTGATATTACCATTAGTTGACTTTTCTCAGTACAGTTGCAATTATCTAAAAACCTAGCTAATTCTGTTAGCCAATTCCAGCATAGTTTTCTCAGTCCTGTCCACAAGCATCATTGTCAAAGTCTCAGGGATCTCTGACATTCCTAATAATGTGTTCCTTAATTCCTCTTGAAATTTAGTAGGTTATTTCAATGGGCAAAATGCCAACTGGATGATTTAAAAAGTACTTACATGTGTACGTATAGTATTTTGAGTGTTTATTAGATGTGATTATCTGCTGTATCAGAACTTCAGGAAATAAATTTTTTCAGATACTTTTCCTGAGAACATAGTGCTTTTCCTATATTATCCTGACACTATGGTGTCTTCACTTTGGTTACAGTATCAGTTGGAGTTTACCACTAGATGCCCTTGGAAATCCTTAAAGCTTAAGGTTCCATCTTCTTAAGCACATAGAGTAAATATGTACTTCATATTTGCAAACTGTGAATTTACTTAAATGAAGGGCTATCTGTAGAAGTTTTTATTGTATAAAATTTCAGAATATGGAGTATCAGCTTACATTAATAGGGAATTTGAAATAAGTATATAGATGCTACACTTAATTCATTTGGGTATTTCTGTTAAGTGTGAAATACTTTAGAAAACTATGTGTATAGGAAATAAGAGGAGCATTAATTAGCATATTGTTACTTTTTTATGAGGGAGCTAAGATTATAGATTTTAGAAAATGTTAGCCATGCAGTAAGGGTCCTGGAAGAAAACGGAAACTGGTGACTTGAGGATCATTTAATAAAAGGACTTTTTACAAAAGTCTGGGCAAGATTTAGGTTGCCCAGCAAGGGAAAAGGAGGGATCCAGGGGCTGCCGGAGGAACCATTATTGCTCTTCGGGCTACAGGAATAGGAGAGGGCACAGGTAGTGCAGCCCAGAGACAGTGGTTGCATAGAGGGTACCTGACAGGAGCGGTGGCCTTTGACCAACCTGTGGTGACTCTGGAGGAGCCAGATCTCCCTCTCTGCCTACCCTCCTGATCTTCTGCCTAGTGACACCTGTTGGCTGAACCTAACTGGAAGTATGAGGGCAGGGAAAGCTTGTTGATGTGGTGTCCGGATGGTCCTCTCTCTGGAGCACAGGGTGCATAGGCAAGAGTAGGAAGTGGGTCTGGAGGAGCAAACAGAAAGTAGCAACCATATCAGCCAATGTAAAAGGAATAGGAAAGGGTAAAATAAATATTAGTGATATTTATTTATTTATTGTATTGTTTATCTATAATTTTGATTTTTTCCTTTTTTAAAATTTCATGACACAGGTCCTGGGAATGTTGTTACAAAACCAAAAAATACATTGGTAATGCCATAGAAAAATATTATTTATTTTTATTTGAAAAATATTTTTTATTAAGATTAGATACTTTTTTTCCAAAGGCCAATAAGAAATGTGAAGAGGCTCGCCAGGAAAAAGAAGCAATGGTAATGAAGTATGTAAGAGGTGAGAAAGAATCTTTAGACCTTCGAAAGGAAAAAGAGATACTTGAGAGAAAACTTAGAGATGCAAATAAAGAATCTGAGAAAAACACTAACAAAATTAAGCTGCTGGGTCAGGAGAAAGCACGGTTGCACCAGCTATATGAAGCAAAGGTATAACTCCCATTGTTCTACCTTATTTGAAATGTATTGTTTGCTTTTTCTTAACCAAATAATCATGACTTATCATGGTTAAACCACTATTATAAACATTAAGTTTTTAGTTTACCTTCTAAGTATGTTAATGTTTAGTAATTTCAATATCTTATTGCCTGTCTGCAGGAAATGTTAATAGAAAAAGATGAGAAATTGACATGTTATTTATTTGATAACTTTTCTTAATATATCTTAAAAAAATTTTTTTAATGAAATCTGTATGTTGAAGAAATGAGTTGGTGCCTCAAAGGAAGATTTTATTTTGGCAAGATATATACACAGTAGTTTCAAAGTGTGAATCGTTTAATAATTATAATTTGACCAGAATCCCAATGAAACACTTATTCATTATAGAATGGAATTTATATTTTTCTGGTAAAAAAAAAAAATTGCTATTAAATGCTGTCCAAGGAGATTTACTTACTGAGCTATTCGGAGCCCTTGCATTAAGTAGCAACCTAATGGCTTGGTCTCCTTTCCAGGGGATTATCACTTCTTGATGATGAATGTTATTTTTTATTAATTAACTTTTAATTCAGGAATGTTATTGTTCTCAGGAATTCTGGCAAAACCAATTTAATTAATATTTTACCTTAAGGCCAGGTGTTGAGAAAATAAAGGTATGCTTGTCCTTGCAACATATCTAGTTGGTTAAAATACATGTTGATTATGTCTGTTAGCTGGATTTAGGATTTTGCTGCCATCTTATGATTTGCATTTTAAATCAGTTTTATAGCTTATAAGCCATAATAATATGCTAGCTCCTGAATTATGATGTTATTGTGCTGAATATTTTGAGGAGGTATAAAAGATACACAAGTAATTGGTTGATTGTTAAATGAAAAATATGACCTAGTGATATTATTTTAGGAAGGTGAAGCTACTAGACTCATCAGAGAAATAGACAAATTAAAGGAAGATATCAACTCTCACATCATTAAAGTAAAATGGGCACAAAACAAATTAAAAGTGGAAATGGATTCACACAAGGTAAGTACTGTACTGTAGTGGGAAAATTATTAGGATCAGTTTTAAAAGTAAATGCAGTAATAGTTAATGAGGCATAAAGTTTAATTTAGTGACTCCTGTAGGATAGCTTGGGCCTGCATAGTTGGTGATTGCAAACCTTAGATTTATCCTTGAGTTCTCTGTCACCATATCTGGTCCCTTAGCAAATCTTACTAACTTCTCAGGTCTTTACCCATCTACCACCTTCTCAGTGGACGGTTCCCTGGCTGCCCTCTCAGTTTTCAGCACCTGCCCTCAAACTTGCTCATGTCCTTATTTTTACTTCTTAGCACTTGTCACTATTTAATATAACACTTTTACGTATGTAGTTTATGTATTATTTATCTTCATTACTAGAGTATCAGCTTTGTGGGAGTAGAGATTTTGTCTGTTTTTGTTTGTTTTTAACACGACTGTTTCCCTAGAGCATAGAATAAATAGTGCCCAGTACATGGTAGGTGCTCATTAAATACTGAATGAATGAATCAGCAAATGAAACATAGGTTAATACCTTAACCAAAACACATTTAATGTGATTTTTACTTTTTTCCCCTAATTATTTATTTAATGAGTATTTATTTGGCACATAGGAATCTCTCAATTGCTATTTTTTGAGTGATTGAAGTGAGTACCTCCTATTTGTCAGACTCTGTTTTAGTTATTGGTGATACAAAAGTGGGTAAAAAACAAAACAGGTAAGTTCATCTCTGTCCTCTTGTTTAAGTAATATTCTAATATTTCAAAAAATATTTGGAAGTTTCCAAATGTTTATATTTTCAAGTGATACTGAATTTTAATACAAGTTAAATTATTAAAAGACCAGCAACTGAAATTATATAACTAGTACTTAATTGTATGATAGATTTATACAAAAACAAAACGACATGTAAGAAGCAGTTTAGATGGTTCAGGAGATGAAGGGAAAGGCATTCCAAGTGGAGGAACAATAAGAAAAAATGGAAGTGGCCATTCATTTGATACTTGGGAAGACTAACCTAACTAGAACAGAAGGTTTATATTAGGCACTCCTCTATTAATTCAACAAATATTACTTGGATCATTTACTAAGTGGCAAGTTCTGAGCAGTGTGCTGGGCAGAAGCTGGCTTCTCAATGAGGGAAAACACATGAGCTACAGTCCAATGTATCCGTCATTATAACCTAGGGATGCCCTGGACTCTATCGATGGGAAGGCAGAATAACAGCATTTGCCCCTTTCTGAAGGGAAGCTACTGGGAGGAGATGATTCTCATTTGAAATCAACGTGATCACCAGAACCATGGGTACTGGGTGGGTACTCTGAAGGAGTTTGGAGGAAGAGCTCAGGGCAGGGATGTAGCTTGGAAAATGGCCGTGGGAAGTAGCAAGCCAGTCAAGCTGGAGAAGGCACCAGTGAAGAGGGACAAAACAGTGCACTGTCTTAGGAAGGTAGTCAGAGAGTTGGGATGGCCAGAACTGGAGCAAAGTCAAGAATAAGAAACGAGGAAAGGTAATTGAATTTGACAAGAGTAGTCCTTACAAACCTTCAGAGTTGCTATTTTAGGAGAGTGGTTAGGAATAGAAACCAAATTGTGTATGAATCTATAAAAAAGCAGTTTTTGAATAGATACCATGGCCATAAACCAAAGAATTGTCTTCTATGTGTGTGTGCAAAGAACTGTTTAATATTTGCTTTTCTTATCTTATCAGGTTAGTTAGTATATTCTAGTGATTTGCTGAAAACGTTATCAAATTTAACTTTATTTAATGGCTTTTAGTTATTCAACCACTCAGTGGCATGCTGAGACAAAAACATTTCCCTAGTCTGGTCATTGTTCCTACCATCCATCACATCATTATGCCCAAGTTTGTCATTTGTCACTGTCTTTTTATCAATGCAGGAAACCAAAGATAAACTTAAAGAGACAACAACAAAGTTAACCCAGGCTAAGGAAGAAGCAGATCAAATACGAAAAAATTGTCAGGATATGATAAAAACATACCAGGTATGCTTAACTTTTCAAATAGATTAGTAACAAATTATGCCAATATCAGTATTCTTGTTTCATTACATTTAGTATCTTTAATATTTGAAATGTAGAATGTATTTGGTATTACAGTTAACATACAGTTTGTATCCTCTGTTAAAGTACTTGTAGCTCATATAGCGATCTCATTAGAGAAGTTTTTAACCAAGTAAAAACACTAGCAAATGTAGAAGAATAAAGAGTACATGTTTGTCAATGTATAAGTTAAAAATAAAACCACTGTGTATTATGTTATATATCTTAAGTATGCTACTCTTGTTCTTGCAGAATTGACATATTTAAAATCTTTCAATGCAGTCATCATTTTTAGATACACAGGTTGTGTATTTCTTAATTAGTACACCTAATTGTCAAAGCCTTCTTCACTTTTCAAAGTATAAAACTTTAAAAATTATCATACTTTTTTATTTTTTTCCCATTAGGAGTCAGAAGAAATTAAATCAAATGAGCTTGATGCCAAGCTTAGAGTCACAAAAGGAGAGCTTGAAAAACAAATGCAAGAAAAATCTGACCAGCTAGAGGTGAGTAGTTTTGTTCTTTATATACCTAGATTGTGTAATAAATACAGAAGGAGAGAAATAACGAGTACTTAATGTCACCTGCTTTTAAAGCCTTTGGGAGAAGCAGGATCTAGTTTAGTACATAATGACTTGTAGTTTCTTTTAAACTTTAAAAGATGCATCATGCCAAAATAAAGGAACTAGAAGATCTGAAGAGGACATTTAAGGAGGGCATGGATGAGCTACGAACACTGAGAACAAAGGTAATTACATCTTTAGTCATGATTCAAGAGGAAGGGTAAACATTTTTAATTTTGGACTAATTCTGATTTTTATTGTATTTTATTTTTTTTAGAAAGGCTGAGAGAAAGGAAGGGGACACGAAGGGTTGGGAGGAGAGAGGTGGAGGGAGAGCCGGTGAGGAGGAGGAAGAAGAGGAAGAGGAGGTGGCAGAGGTGTGGAAGAGGAGGAGAGAGGAGTTATTCTGATTTTTAAAATGTTGGCGAAAGGGTATTTATTTAGAAATTTTCCAAAATAAAAGAACTCATAGGAGTAGAATATCAATTCCCTAGCAAAAAAAAAATTGACCTTATTGAAATGAAAATGTCTTCAACCCCTTCGAAGCGCTTGCCAAGCATTCCTGCTTGTAACACATTTGCTCTATCGTAACTTACCATTGGGGCTCTAATCCAAACAGTCTCATCAGCAAGTTAATTGGAAAGAGAGTTAGACTTCTGAACCATGAGTACGAGAAAATAAAATAATTTTTTAATATTTCTCCTGGGTATATTTAATAGTCTGGTATACAGTTTTGATTTCTGACAATCTATTAAATTTTTTCCAGGGTTTATTGTCTTTATTATAAAACTAATATCCCTTTTAATATGACTGAAACATTATCCTTGTGTATCATTCATTATTTTTAGAAGTAGGCTTTTAAGTAACCACTTTGAGTTTGCAATCACGTAATAATTTTCAAAGTGTTTTCCATGTACCCTTCTGTTTGTTCTCCACGCCAGTTCTGAGGTGGTAGGGAAGGTGTACCTCTTCTCAGGTGGAGAAATGGAGATTCGGCACAAATAAAGTGACATAATAGAACTGCCATGACTGACTTGGGAAATCTGAGACTGAAGCCCAGGACTGTTAACTTCCCATTATGTTTTCTCCACGTGAATTAACACTGCTTCAGAATTCAGCTTAGACTATTAATATATAACCACTATCTGAAATAGTTAATAAGGAACAAGAAAATATTGTTTGTAGTTTAACTTGGTTATGATTTGTGATAGGTGAAATGTCTAGAAGATGAACGATTAAGAACAGAAGATGAATTATCAAAATATAAGGAAATTATTAATCGCCAAAAAGCTGAAATTCAGAACTTACTGGACAAAATGAAAATTGCAGATCAGATACAGGAGCAACATCAAAGGTATAAAATGAGCAACTTCTGTTCATGCTAATCAACAGGATTTTTCATTCTATCTCAAGTTTTTATTTTTAAATGCAATTGCATTAAACAAGAATAATTTTATTAGTTAAAAATTTTTAAATTTTGGTTATTTAAACTTTTTTGGATTATTTTTGAAGTTCCTGTCACAACTTCTAAAAATCAAAGTTTATATTCCCTAAACATTGGCAGTAGCAATTTATAAGACAGAATGGATTTTGGTTTCTGTATTCGTTACTTAGTGTTCAAATTTTGTTACTTATGCACAGTACTTTTTTTTTCCTGAAAGGTGTATTTACATCTATATCTGCACATATGTAGCTTGAGGTCAGAATCTGAAGTGATTCTTTGGCTTATAAAAACCCTTTAGCTAAAATCTGCTCATGACATTACCTGGCAGAGCATGGATTCAGGTTGGATCCAAGTACTTTTCATATTCTGCTGATATCCAGGCTGCTGAGTGTCGCTGAAGAAACCCTCCCCGTCATCCAGGGTGATGCTGCTGGACATGCATGGTTGGCAGCCTCAGCTGGGGATGTTAGTACCCTTCTAATCTGACCATGGGTCCTTCGAGCCTTCTCCCCGTTTCCTTAGCATCTCCTCTAAACCTTACTGCTTTCTTCACTCTTCTCATCTTTCTTCTACCTCACCATTTACTCTTTTTTTAATTTACTTTAATCCTCGCCTGAGGATATTTTTTCATTGATTTTTAAAGAGAGTGGAAGGGAGGGCGAGAGAGAGAGACATTGATGTGAGAGAGGGACATCGATTGGTTGCCTCCTGCACGACCTGGGCTGAGGATTGAACCTGCAACCCAGATATGACGGGATGGAACCCATGACCCTTCAGTCCGTGAGCAGATGCTCTGACCACTAAGCCCAACTGGTCAGGGCTAAGCCAATTATCTACTTATTTTTTAAAGAGCAGTTTATTGATTTTTAGAGAGAGAGAAAGGTAGAAGAGAGAAACGTCAGTGTGGGAACTTAACATTGATCAGCACACCTCCTACCAGGGATCAAGCCAGAAACCCAGGCATGTGCCCCCACCAGGAATCGAGCCTGCAACCTCTTGGTGCATGTGTTGATGCCCAACTAGCTGAGCCACACCCTCCGGGGCCCACTGTCTTTCATGACATGCCTCTGCCTTCATTTCGTCATGTGCCCTGGTGTTCCTCCCACTGGTGACCACCCTTTCTCATTCTCCTTGACAGCCTTCTCACTCTGTCATAAAACTCTTTTGTCCTTATTTTATTATTACCCTGGGTGATCCTAACTATTTTATAGTATGCTGCAGGACTTTTACATCATTCCAGCCCTTTCTGCTGAGCTCTAGACACAAAAATATCAATGACACCTGTAACTTTTAATATGTTCAAAACTGATTCATCTTTCCCACCCACACTCTGGTTCTCTGATGTTCCTGAGATGAGAGATGAGTAGCATCCACATGGGACACATTGGCTCTTTCTCCTTCCCCTCCCATGTCTAACCAGTCACAAGGTATTATTAATGCTGCCTCTTCAGTGTCTTTCAGTCTGTTCACTTTTTATATTCCTGTTGCTGCTACCATTGTCCAAGGCATTATCAGCTCTCATGTGGAAAACCCAGTTTCTAAACTGTTTTTTTTTTCTTACTTCCCTTTTAATCCATTTCCTGCATTGCAGTTAGCATAATCTTATTAAAAAGGAAATTTTCTTAATTTTCTCAACACCTTTCAGTGATTTCCCATTGCCTCAATGATTACCCAGTGAGTTCAGATGCCTTAACATAGCTTGAAAGGTCATTAGTGACCTGTCCCTTGCTCCTCCCTCTGTGCCTCCTCCTCTTTCATTCTTGTGCTCCAGCAATAGTTGGTTAGCAAATGTTGATTCATTGTCTCCTATGTGCCAAGCCCTGTACTGAGTGCTGGGGATATAGTACAGTCCTTATTTTCATTAGTGTTGAACATCTGTTTGTTAGGACCAAGAAGAATTCATTCTCCTCTCCCCTTCCCAGCTTTAACACATTGCTTCCTTGACCTGGAATGCACTCGATTCTCCCACTCATCCCTGCTTTTCCTTTATGTCAGGAATCAGCAAACTATGGCTGACAAGCCAAATCCAGCCCACTGCCTCTCTTTGTGTGTTACATTTTGGAGCACAGACACACTCACTCATCCCTTTATGTGTCGCCCATAGCTGCTTTCACACAAGAGTGGTAAAGTCTCAGACTGTTGCAACAAAAGCCATAGTCCCCAGAAGCCTAAATTGTGTACTGTCTGGGCCTTTTCCAGGAAAGATTTGCTAACCTCTACTTTAAGTATTAGTTCCAGTGTTACACTAAGCTGGGCAACTGCTTGGTGCTATCACATCAAAAATGTTTATCACAATGACAAAATTTCCCTGCCTGACAGAAAACTTGGAAAGCAAGGCCACGTCAGATGTGCTCCCGGGTAGGCCCAGCTCTGAGTTCCTAGCGTGTATTAGTCGTTACGAATTAAAGTGCCTTTAGAAAGCATTTCCTTCAATGAAAATGCCCAAACCATTCATTTAATGTCTTTTAATGGTTTAATTTGTTTCTTAAATATAAACTTTGTTTTTTAGAGGTAAACAAGAAATTGAAAATTTGAAGGAAGAAGTGGCAAGTCTTAATTCTTTGATTAATGACCTGCAAAAAGACATCGAAGGCAGTAGGAAAAGAGAATCTGAGCTACTGCTGTTTACAGAAAAGCTCACTAGTAAGAATGCACAACTTCAGTCCGAATCCAATTCTTTACAGTCACAGTGCGATAAACTTTCCTGTAGTGAAAGTCAGTTACAAAGCCACTGTGAACAAATGAAACAGACAAATACGAATTTGGTGAGTATAATTGTACATTTAACATTTAAAGCAACACAGCAGGAAGCACACATTTGATTTTCCCAATAGCATAAACCCAGCAGTAGTTGATCCACATTGTTTTTTATTGGCACTGACTTGTAATTTCAGTGCTGTGAGAAATGTCTGTTTTCCTTTCAACTTATGTAATTTATAATAAAAGTGTTCCCTAAGATGGTTAGGAAGAAGTATTTCACTTTTGAAAACAAGAAAATCGCCCTGGCCGGTTTGGCTCAGCAGTTAGAGCATCAGCCTGCAGTCCGGAGACCCGGGTTCGGTTCCCGCTAAGGGCATGTATCTCGGTTGCAGTTTGTCCCCGGCCCTGGTTGGTTGTGCGAGTGGCAGCCACTCGATGTGTCCCTTTCACGTCGATGTTTCTCTCTCTCTCTCCCTCCCACTCTATCTGTACAAAAAATGGAAAAATGTCCTCGGGTGAGGATAAAAAAAAAAAAAAAGAAAGAAAATCAGGGTTTTTGTCATTCCAAACTAGAATTACTATACATTTTTAAAAAGTACTTCACATTATTCTATTTTTTTCTAGTTTAAAAATAGTTTAATATTTCCAAGTTAGGAGATTACCTTCAAATTACTTATAAAAATAATTTGAGACTTTGGTCCAAACATAGAGACCTGTATCACAAGTTGTTTTGCATATATGGAATGGCAAACGTTAATACGTTAGTATGTGTCCCCTGCGTTACTGTGTGGAGAATCGGAGGCGCTCACTAAACAAAACCTGGTAAGGAGTGATGACAGCAAGTACTATCAGGGACCTTGTGTTCTTGATGTTTTAATGGAAACAAGCAAGTCACCGGTTAAAATTGGCATTTTTGTCTTATCTTAATTTAATATTTAGGAAAGTAGATTGTTGAAAGAGGAGGAACTGCGAAAAGAGGAGGTCCAAACTCTGCAAGGTGAACTCGCTTGTAAACAAACAGAAGTTAAAGCACTGAGTACCCAGGTCGAAGAATTAAAAGACGAATTAGTAACTCAAAGACGTAAGCATGCCTCTAGTGTCAAGGATCTTACCAAACAACTCCAGCAAGGTATGAAATTCTTCCACACTTCGACCTTGACTGTTTTGTGTTTCTTTTATTCATTAGGATTTATAGAAAAAAATATTTCTCACATCAGGTTCTACCACATCGATTAGAGCCTTATGTTCTTTTTAATGTGTTAATAATGTTCATAAACTGAATTGCTATACTTCTTGCAGTCGCATGGGTAGTCTGTAGCATCTTCTATGAAGGACGTTTATTCATGGAACTATAAAGTGTAAGAGTTGGAAAAGTACCTTAAGGCAGTAGTGTTGAAATTATTTTGATCACATACTCCTATTAGTAACAATTATTTAAACATTTGTTCTCCAGTTTATATATATTTATAAATTTGAAACATGTATTATTCTATTTGATGTATATTAGAAAACAAGAAAAATAGAAATTTAAAAGGTCAGATTAAATGTAAGTATTACTAGAAGTTCTAATATTTTTCCCCTACACACGTGGATGAATTTTTCTGTGCATGTACCTTTGGAACCTGCACCCCACCTGGTAGACCTCTAACTTAGAGATCAGTGAGACCTAACCTTTCATTGTATAGGAAACTGAGACCCAGAAAGGTTATAGATAAACCAAACACAGTGATTCACAGCCAGAATGGAACCCAGATTTATTTCCTTTAAAAATCCATACAATTATTGGGAGTCTGTGCCATGGGCTTGGATACAGAGATGAGTAAGATAATGTATTCTGACTTCCCAGTCTCTATTTCCCTCTGCTTTATTTGTATCAAAATAGGATGAAATATAGTAATAAAAGAGATTTAGCATATACTTAATATAAATATATTAAAATATTTGCCATGAGAATTCATTTTGTTTTTATAGATATAATTAAAGGGAAATTTGGGGAAAATTTGCTGGTATTCTTTTATATCTGTCAAGACTCCGAAAATTACACTCAGTGTACCTAAGTAATGACAGCCAGTGTCAGTTGTTATCATAATCTTGTTTCTGTATATTGACCTGCATTTCTAGGTGTCATTTTGTATGAATGATGCCTAAGCTCTCTTGTCCAAAGTACGTATTCAAGAAATTTCTCTTGCTTTTTTTTGCCATTTTGGCTTAAGTGATCTTAGCAATTAAAATCAGAGGTTGTGGTGGCAAGTGGTCATGATAGTTGTCACAAGTACTCCATTTCTTTTTTCTCTAGCACGAAGAAAGTTAGATCAGATCGAGAATGGAAGCTATGATAAAGAAGTCAGCAGCATGGGAAGTCGTTCTAGTTCATCAGGTAGAAAAACAAATGATTTTAGTTATTTAATGCTTGATTATAAAAAGAAATAGCATATTTTGGTTTTTAAAAGGTATTGAAATATTTTTCACTTTGAATTTTAAAAAGTGGTAGTTATATATATACTGTAAAAAATATTTTCAGTTAAATGTTTAAGTTCTAATCATTATCCAGCATTTCAAGTTTGTCATATGGTTCTTTTGTTTTTTGTTTTTTCCCATTATGGAATACAAAGCTCTTTTGAGTTAAAGTACAGTTGACGTACAATATTATGTTAGTTTCAGATGTATGTGACGCGATTCTCTATAATTTATTCCCCTACCTCCTTTTTTTCTTACCTGCTTCTTTTCTATTCTGCATAACAACTTCCTTTTCCATTTTTAAATTCAGATTTGTACCCGTTCCTTTACTTTTATATTACTTTTAATACCTGAGAACTAATGAAATGACCATCATTATATATCAGATTTTATCTATATGCATACATATTTTTTAATTTTATTTTTTAATTTTATTTTTTTTTAATTTTATTTTTGTTACAGATGTTTCTCCTTTTTTACCCCATTGAAGCCCTCCTCCCCCTCCCCCTCACCCCGTCCCCGGCTTTGTTGTCTATGTTATATATATATTTTAAATATTAACTTTTCTCATGGTAAATATGCCTATGGTCTAAAACAGAAATGAATAATCTATAAAATTGTGATCGATAACATTGTGAAAATGGTACTTAGCAAAGTATCAGTGTATTTATCAACTTTGGAATGCCAGGAATCATGTTCAGTGCTTTAAACATATCATTTACTCTGCAGAAGTCACGTGAGGTGTTACAGTTCCCATTTTAAAGAGTGTGTTCATGATTTGCCCAAAGTCCACAGCGACTGAGCTCTCAGATTCTTGAGTCCTTGCATGCCAATAGACTACACCGCTCCCAGGAGTTACACATTAAGGGAGAAGACGTCATCAACTGTTACAATAGTGGGAAAATTGTTCAGTAGAAGAAACATGGGTTTGAAATTACATATCGGTATTTAGTTCCCAGCTATGCCATTTATTAGTGTATGATGTTGGATAAGTTTCATTACTGTCTAAAATCTGCAGGATGGGATGAAAAAAACCTTATTTTTGTAGGGTAAAATGATAAAAAATTCTGTTCAACTGCTGTTGATAAAAACAATAGCTAACATTCACGTAGAGCTTACTATATGCATTGTTGCAAGCACTTCAGGTGTATTAACCCATTTAAATGAGGATAATCATCCTGTGAGGTAAATAATGTTGTTCTCATTTTAAGATGAAGTGACCAAGGCACAGAAAGTTAAATACCTTGTCCAAAGCTAGAAAGTGGGGTTTGAACCCCAGGAGACCTGGCTCCTGAGCTTAACCCTCTTGGCTGCATTCTACTCTCCATGTGTCTTTTTCTCCGTTTAATTTTGGTCTTACTTCAGACTTGTTATTCCTGGCATTTTCTTGAGTTTCGTGTTTCTCTGTTGACTTATTCTCTTTCTATTCCTGAAAGACATAGTAGGTCTTTTGTACTTCTGTCATCAGTATATTCAAAAATAAGAACCTCAGGCCCAGTATGACTTGTGTTCCATTCTATGCCCAGTTAGAGCGGATATTTGAAAATCATACTATAAGAAATAATATGAGATTAGAGATGACTCTAGACCAGGTACATATTTAAACTTTTTTTTCTTTAGGGTCCATCAATGTTCGAAGCAGTGCAGAAGATCGATCTCCAGAAAATACCGGGTCGACAGTTGCTGTGGATAACTTTCCAGAAGTAGACAAGGCTATGTTGATTGAGAGAATAGTGAGGCTGCAAAAAGCACATGCCCGGAAACATGAAAAGATAGAATTTATGGAGGATCACATCAAACAATTGGTGGAAGAAATTAGAAAAAAAACGAAGTATGCATATTATGGTAACATAATCTGTACAAAATACTTATTCAGATGGTAAAGTTACTATTTGCAAATTAATCATACCAAGATCCTATCCTTCAAAAAATAATTCTTAGTTGTAGTCATTCAGTTCCCAATCTTTTTGTTAATCACTTACTGTGTCCTAGGTTTAGTAATACAGAGATGAAAGAAAACACATCATTCCTTTAAGGGGATCATAAATTTCAGTAGACATTAATTACTATTATTATTATTTTCTTTATTGATTTTAGAAAGAGAGGAAGGGAGAGGGAGAGAGAAATAGAAACATCAATGAGAGAGAACATCAATTGGCTGCCTCCTGCATGACCCCCACTAGGGATCCAGCCCACCACCTGGGCACATGCCCTGACCTGGAATCTATCCGGCGACTTCTTGGTGCATGGGTTCAACACTTAACCACTGAGCCACACCTGCCAGGCTAAAACCTTTTATGATGTAGTCTTTACCCACGACATTTTCATTTTATTTTGAAATAATTTTAGACTTAGGAAAAGTTTGCCTATAACTTTTAAAATAAAGAGAATAAAATACAGTTCCAAGTTTAATAACAGGAAAATTGAAAATATTAACTGAAATGGGAGGAAAAACTCAAATATTTTTATTAAATGAGTAAGGAAAGAAAGATATATAAATGTTTATATATCTTTAGGAAATCATCTGAATAAGGAAAATTTTTTTATTTTCTAATATAGTTCTGTTACTAACTATTTATGCTATTCATCTTCATGCTTGTGATTCATTGACTCTTGCAAATTCCAGTGTTTTTAATCCTGCAGGTACATAACTGAGAGTGTTGTTCTATTTTGCAGAATAATTCAGAGTTACATTTTACGGGAAGAGTCAGGCACCCTTTCTTCAGAGGCATCTGATTTTAACAAAGTCCACTTGAGTAGACGGGGTGGCATCATGGCCTCTTTATACACGTCACATCCAGCCGATAGTGGATTAACACTGGAACTCTCTTTGGAGATCAACCGAAAATTACAGGCGGTTTTGGAAGACACGTTACTAAAAAATATTACTTTGAAGGTATTTGTATTTCTCATTCACTTACTCACCCACCAGTAAACATGGCAAAGTGGTGCCTGTTTCATAATTTGATCCAGCACATAGGTGGACTGTTTCTGTAAGGCAAGTAGCCATTTTATCCAGAGATAACACTTTTGTGAAAAGTACAGTTTTTAAAAATAGCAATGAAAGAAAGAAGTAGTAGAAAGATCAGTTTAGCTATTTAAAATTTTTCTTTATTTTTTAATTACAGTTTACATTCAGTAATATTTTGTGTTCCGGGCGTACAGCATAGTGGTTAGACAATCATATATTTTACAAAGTGTTCTCCCCGATATTTCCAGCACCCACCTGGCACCATACAGGGTTATTACAGTATTATTGACTATATACCCTGTGCTGAACTTTACATCCCCATGACTATTTCGTAACTACTAATTTGTACTTCTTAATCTCTTCCCTTTTTTCACCCGGGCCCCCAAATTCCCCACCCCTCTGGCAACCATCAGTCTGTCCTCTGGATCTGAGTCAGTTTCAATTTTGTTTGTTCATTTATTTTGTTCTTTAAATTCCACATATAAGTGAAATCACATGGTATTTGTCTTTCTCTGACTGATTTCACTTAGCATAATAATACCCTCTAGGTCCATCCATGCTATTGCAAATGGTAAGATTTCATTCTTATTTATGGCCAAATAATATCCCGTTGTATTTATGTACCACAGCATTTTTATTCACTCTTCTATTGATGGGTCCACTTAGCTATTGGATAGATGCTAATATGAGTTGTTTACCTTGCTTTTGACATGTACTATAATTAGTTAAAATTGACTAATGAGATTTTTTTAAAGATTGAGGCATTTACTTTCTAATGTATTTTCTAGCTTCATTTTATTTTGTGCAGCTGTTGTCTGGCTGACCTGTTCTATTTGTGCTGTTTGGGCCTTCATAGTTATAGATTTTTAAAATTTAGTAATAATTTTTTACAATAAAATTTGCTGTAGCTTCAGTAGAAAGACTAAGTATAACTCTGAAATAGATAGGACTGCCTAACTGGAAATAGCTGTGTGCCTAGTTTATTTCACAGCGCATTTAACTCATCACTCTTCAAAACAGGCACAAATAGTTCAAGCAGAATCTTTTTTATTTATTACAACTTAGTTCTTTTCTCTTTTTGCTCTTTTTTTTAAATGGTTAAAGGAAAATCTGCAAACACTTGGAACAGAAATAGAACGACTTATTAAACACCAGCATGAACTAGAACAGAGGACGAAGAAAACCTAACACAAACTGCTACTCAGTAAAGAGACAAAAACCACACAAGGAGCAGGTGGTCACTGCTCAGTACTGTTGGAAACCTTCCCTTGCTGTGTGTGTCAACCAGTAAAAAATTTGATTTGTTTCATCTGAATAGAAAAGTATCCTTTTACAATAGGAATGCACTGCAATGTGTACTGTAAGAGTGTGGACTTGATGAGATTTGTTTTTATACGGTTACAGCCCATCATTGACACAAAACAACCTAATTTAATTTGCTAATAGTCATATGAAGTGTATTACATAGGCTTTTGAAAACGCTTTCTCCATATTTCTTCCCTTTAAAACACATAATTTCCAAAAGGATTCATCTGGTTTAAAATTATGCATGAAAGGACCAGTAATATGCTATTTCTCCATCTTAAAGAAAACTAAAAAATAAAACAATTTTTTTGACATTCCAATATAACATTTGGTTGTGTTTTGGGATGGTGCCAGTGATCCTTAAATCTTTTAATTTTAATGGAAGCTGATAGGAAAGCTAGCTTATGGGAACTATAGACTGTCTATATGTCTGTACCTTGTCTGGACTAGATACGTTGTTTTCAGATTCAAATTGTTTCAGTTCATAGTTGAGTTTTTTAAATCTTCAGTTACATAAACTATGATTTAAAGTAACATGCTCATTTAGAAAATTCCTGTGGACTTCAGTTATATTTTATAATGTGAAGTGGATTAGTTATTATAGCAGAGAGATGAATTAGTGAATTCTTTGAAATTGAATACTTTAGTTTTACTAATATCAGATGTAAAGGTAAATGTTTAAAATATTTATGAAGAACCTGTTCCCAAGGGAATGCACCCATTTGGTACTAGTTGAACACCCATTCTTCGCTATTGACATAGTTACACATTACAGTGGAGTGATCCTACAGCCCCCAAATATGAGGCGTTTCAGTATATTTATTTAAAACACAAAATAATTACATCTCTGTAACCAAAGGAATTTTAGAGCCAAGTTTATGTATCCTATTGGTTTACAATATTTATTTAAGATGTGGCAACTTAAATGTTGCCAGTCATAGTAACAGTATTTCTATGTCATTGAATTTTTTCTCACTTCTTATAATTTCTCACCTGTTATAATTTCTGTGTGTGGTTTTTCCCATTTCATTATATTTTTGTCTTGATGCAAGCCTCACTTTTGTTTTTTCTCCCCTTAAGTAAGTTTTGGGATGGTGGATTAAAAGCCTTCAAAGAATTAGATGGCTCTCAAAGTTAGGCTCGTGATGGTAATATCCCTTTAATGTGTTTTAACATTTTTTAATCATCATTTAAAAAGATAATTTACTAAAAATTAGATGATTCATTATATTATTTTTTCTCTATATTGAGTTATACATTGTCATCCAAAATCAAAATCTTTTTACTTCAAAATGGAAATACAAGTTTCAAAATGTTTTATTTTTTAAATAGCTGTAAAAAGTATTAGTCTTACCATAATGTCTTGTTCTTTTTACCAATAGTAATTTATCAGAATAAAGAAAATAAGAGGGTAAGTGCAATCAAATCTGAATTATTTTCACATTTGCTTCTAGACATACCTTTGATACTCCCAAAGACTAGAGTAGCCAATGTAACTAAATTTTTCAGCTTCTTACGTGATATAGATTCAAACACTACAATGTTTTGTTGTTTTTTTCCTCCTAAGATGCAAAATGTATTAATGGAAACCAAATAGTGATCAAATCTGGTGTCCTATGTCTATACACTTTTTAAAAAGGTATACACATTTATTACATACAAAATTGAAACATTCCGGTATTGACATTAGTGTCAGCATTCATTTGGAGAAGTTTAATTTTGAAACAATTATAGAAGAAAGCTATGGTAAACCATATTTTGACTTATTGTTACCCCTGCCCCTTACAAAGAAATATAAGAAACTGTGGAAAACGTTTGAAGAAATACATTATTTTCTTTTTGTTCTTTAGTTTCTACTGTACCCTTTTTATATGGATCAGGACTGAGCAAAATGTATAAAGATGTGCATATATCAGATTACTGTCTCTACACTGATTCACAAACAGCTCCTGATTTAAGGAGTTAGAGGGTCTTCTACCCTTACTGTGTTGAATATATGGAGAGAAGAATGGGGTATCCAGATAAGGAAAATGGTTTGGATAAATCTCAGATCTGGGGGGAAATTTTTTTATGTGTTCATTATGAGTTATACACATCAAAGGCTGTTTTTGTTAGTGCTAGTTTGGTTTCTTTGAGCAGGAAATGATTGTGTGAATGTGTGTGTATTTGTGTACACTTCCCCAGGTTTCAGTTTTAAAGTGAATGCTTACTGTGACTCCTTTTTCCCATGCCCCTTCAAACTTTAGCCTGTTAAGTTTTAAGGATTGAAAGTAGTGGGTTTGAGCAGCATAATGAGTTTGAGCTGTGGTGTTTTCTTTTTAAATTTCTTCATCATGATTTTAAATGATTTATCTTCAAATTAAATTTTATCAGGTTACCAACATGTTATTTATTCATTTAATAAACACATTTCTTGAAAACCTATTATTGCCAGGCACCATACCGGGTACTGTGATTATCTTAGTGAACAGGCCAGACAGAGCAGTTGCTGCCCTTGGAGCTTATGGTCTAGTGAAAATATCCGGAGGAAGTAGGGGCAGCCCTCTGAGCCTCTGCAGCGCACAGCCAGCCTGTGGGAAGAGGGTTAGTCCACCTGCATAAGAAGGCAGCCCAGAAATCTCACTCTGGCATGCATCTCTGGGAAATGAATCCTGAGGTACGCTGAGATCAGACTACTGTTTTCTTGGTAGTTACACACATTTCCATACTTCTCTCACAGTTTGATGTTTAATTATTCCTTAAGAAAAAGGAAAAAAAATCCAAAGACCACAAAATGGCATTCAGTTTTTGCCATTTTAGTAAATTATTAATTCCTACTTGATGCTCGTAAAGATGATCTAATCATGCTGTCACGTGTGTTTCCAAACTGTTTTGCTGTATATTATTTTCTAAAGATTTTTACATACAAATTTAGACCAATATTTACCAGTAGAAGAAAACAAATTTAATATTGTAAATGTTATATATGCTGCCCTGGTGAAAATATTTTTATCAATCATGTTGTTGTTCAATATGGTTAATTTGCCTTATGAATGTTAACTCCAGTAGCTTATTTTTCAATAATTTTTTTATTTTAAAACAAAACAATTCTTTTTTGACACTAAGATTATTCATTTTTAATACCAGTTGGTGGCACTAGAAACCGAAAAATTTTTCAAAACTGGACAAAAGAAAATAATTGGAAAAATCTCCAAACATCAAGAATTTTCAGGAAAATATATGAAAAATATAATTGTATATTAAAGTTATATTTTTCTCCTGGACTGGAATCTTTTTTTAAAATGCAATATGGCTGTCCATTTACACTATGATGATGAAACTTGTTTATCTTCCAAAGTTCATACATATATATAGGTATATATACGCGTGCATTGTACAGATAATCTCTAATTTGATTACACTGTTCATTTGTAAATATGTTTCTGTATAAAATTAAGCTTTTCAAGAGAATTCTATGTATATATTGTACTTATTAAATAGATAAACCTGTTTACCAAGTTGTACTGTAATGTCATCTTTGATTAGTTATTGACCTATACCACTTACTAAACAGATTGATTCTTCAGACTGTTGGCAAGGCTGACTCAAATTGCTTGAATTTTTTTTTTTTGAACCATACTAAAATTTTTTGTTTCCCATGTTTGTATTTTAGTCTGTCCATTATTAGAAGTCAGTGAATAGTAGTAAGCAAATTAAATTGAGTGCTAGGTTATATTTAAATGTTTTGTTTAAATTACCAATGGTAACATTTGGCCTTTTACAAAAGGCACATTTTCACGTGCTTTTGTGAAAATTTCTCATAGAACTTGATGAGCCAGGAATACAGGGTTGGGCAAAAGTAGGTTCACAGTTTGTGAGTATATGAAACAGTTTATTCTTGTATTATTATTTATAAATTCTTGTATTTTTTTTTATTTCTTTTTTTTTTTTTATCTTTCCCCGAGGATATTTTTACATTTATCTTCAGATAGAGTGAGAGGAAGAGAGAGAGACAGAGAGAAACATCCATGTAAGAGAGACACATTGGTTGCCACCCACACAACCCCAACTGGGACAAACCGCAACCAAGGTACGTGCCCTTGGCCAGAATCAAACCCAGGACACATTGGTCCACGGGCCGACGCTCTTAACCATTGAGCCAAACAGGCCACGGCAGATTCTTGTATTTTTTCATAGAAACAACAATAAACCTACTTTTGCCCCACCCTGTATATTCAGATTTACCACAAAACTATGGAACTTACTTGCCCTAATTACCTGGCTTTAGTAATAAAGATCCAATGTGTTCAATAAAAATAATTTGAAGTGGCATTAATTTCATGAAGTTAATGTGTGTGATGGATATTTCAAATCACTATGTGTTGTTTTCCTGTTCTCTAACAGTTCTGGTATACTCAAATTATGCCATATACCTTAAGGAGTTCACTATTGGAAAGAGTCCCCTGAAGTCAGGCTCCTTGGGTTAAAGGTAAAATTAATAGAACAGAGGAGGCTTAATAGTCTGCTTTTGGTAGAGAAAGAAGTATATATGGGAAGTGGGTGCGTTTGGGAAGGAGATTAATGGCTTTTGGTTCCTAAATTGGTCAGTGTGACCTGCAGTCAAAAGATTGGAAAGACCATGCCAATGAACTTATGTCTGAGTATTTTTTTCTTAATAAAGTCTGCTTCAATCATTGAATGTAGAATTTACTTCTCAGGACCAGCAACTTTGGAAAGATGTCTCCATTTAACCAAATGCTAATGCTATTTTAATGATTCTGAGAACTGTGTGAGCAGACATAATGCCCCTGCCCCTATAGAGCTATACTATTAATTCCTGTTACATTTATGAGACTGGATTCTTACTTATTTTTATATTTTTTTATTTTTCAAAGACAGTTGGCATACAATATTATATTAGTTTCAAATGTACAACCCAGTGATTAGACATATTACTAAGTGATCATCCCAATAAATCTAGTACCCATCTGACACCTTACGTAGTTATTATAATGTTATTGACTATATTCCCTATGCTGCACTTTACAGTTCATGACTGTTCTGCAACTACCAATTTGTACTTCTTAATCCTTGCTCCTTTTTCACCCTTATCCCTAACCCTCCTCCCATCTGGTAACTGTCAAAATGTTCTCTATATCTATGAGTCTGTTTCTGTGTTCTTGTTCATTTTGTTTTTTTAGATTCAGTTGTTGATCGATATGTATTTATTGCCATTTTATTCATATTTTTTATCTTTTGTTTTCTTCTTAAGACTTTAACATTTTATGTAATGCTGGTTTGGTGGTGATGAACTCCTTTAGCTTTTTCTTGTCTGGGAAGTTCTTTATATGTCTTTTAATTCTAAATGCTAGTTTTGCTGGGTAGAGTAATCTTGGTTGTAGGTTCTTTTCATCACTTTGAATATCTTGCCCATCTCTTCTGGCCTGCAAAGTTTCTGTTGAGAAATCAGCTGACAGTCTTATGGGAGCTCCCTTGTAGGTAATGAACTGCTTTTCTCTTGCTGCTTTTAAGATCCTTGCCCTGGCCGGGTTGGCTCAGCAGTTAGTCGGCCTGCGAACCAGAGAGTTCTGGGTTCGGTTCCCGCTAGGGGCATGTACCTCGGTTACAGTTTGTTCCCTGCCCCAGTTGGGATTGTATGGGTGGCATACAATGTGGCATACAGTCGATGTGTTTCTCTCACATCGATGTTTCTCTCCTCCCCTCTCTTCCTCCCACTCTATCTGAAGATAAATGCAAAAATGTCCTCGGGTGAGGATAAAAAAAAAAGATTCTCTTTATATTTAACCTTTGGTATTCTAATTATAATGTGTCTTGGTGTGGACCTCTTTGGGTGTATCTTGTTTGGGACTCTCTGTGCTTCCTGGACTTGCATGTCTATTTCCTTCACCAGGTTGGGGAAGTTTTCTGTCATTGTTTTTTTTCACATAGGTTTTCAATTTCTTTATTTTTTGTTAATCCTCACCTGAGGATTTTTTTTTCCCCGTTGATTTTTAGAGAGTGGAAGGGAGGAAGTGGGGTGGGGGAGAAATATTGATGTGAGAGAGACACATTGATTGGTGGCCTCCCACACATGCTTCTGACTGGGGCCAGGGATCGAACCTGCAACCCAGGCACATGCCCTTGACCAGGAATTGAACCTGTGACCCTTTGGTGTGTGGGCTGCTGCTCTAACTACTGATCCACACCGGCCAGAGCCATACAGGTTTTCAAAGTCTTTCTCTCTCCTCCTGGCATCCCTGTGATGTGAATGTTGGTATGCTTAAAGTTGTCTCAGAGGCTCCTTACACTGTCCTCATTTGTCTGGATTCTTTTCTTTTTCTGTTCTGATTGGTTATTTTCTGCTTTTTTATCTTTCAAATCTCTGATTTGATCATCTCCTTCATCTACTCCACTATTGATTCCCTGTAATATAGTCTTCATTTCAGTTAATGTATTCTTCATTTCTGACTGGTTCTTGTTAATGTTTTCTATCTTTATTTTCGTGTTTCCTGTCTCTTTGTTGAGGTTCTTAGTCATTTCATGTACTCTGCCCCATGAGGACTCCTCCCCACGTCCGTGGTGCCTCCTAGGAGGTGCAGGCCAAGGTCAGCCACTACCTGTGCCCAGGGCCACCCCGCATGAGCTACACAGTGATCTGCAGATGGCTCCTGCTTTTGCTGGGCGTGGAGGTGCCCGGGAGAGGCCAAGCTCTGAACCGAGTCTGGCTGCCGCTGGTGCCAGGGCTGGGGCCACTTGACGAGAGGCACTGGGCACACTGAGGCCAAATGCTGCTGCTTTGAGAGATTTTAGGAACATCTGAAGCATGAGCCAAGACCGGCCGTTTGTATGAAAAAGCCACTGGAAATAGCTTGGGTGGGCCTGCCAGTTGGGTGGGGCGGGGTCTCAGGGAATCACCAGGGCGGGGCGAACTCACCTAGGTTGATGGAGACTAAGCTAGGGCACCTGCCTGCTGGCTGCGTGTGTGGGGTGGGGGAGGCGTGCCTCAGGACAGGAACTATGGCCTTTGGCAGTATTTCTGTCTGGGAGAAAGCTGCCCCTCCAGCTCTTGTCCTGGTGCCAGACACTTCCGTTCCTCCCATGTCCGAGGTGCCTTTCGAGCTGCTGCCTCAGCACCGGAGCTCAGAGCAGGCGAGTCCAAGCAAGTCTGCGCGCGGGCCCTTTAAGGGGAGATTCCAGCAGCCACCATCTCAGCCACCATCTCCACGGGAACACGCAGAGGGGCCTGGTGTGGGGCTGGGACCCCTTGCTTCTCGGGGGGGCGTGGGGCTCTGCAGTGGAGACCCCTCCCAGTTTTGTCCACCACAGGTGAGTGGGAGCAGCTGTTCCACGTCTCTGTCTCTCCTGCCTGTCTCGACGTGGCTGCTGCTTTATATCCTGTAGGACTCCGTTCAGTTAGATTTCAGGCGTTCTGAATGATGGTGGTTCTGTAGCTGTCCTTTTGACGTGATGTGAGAGGTTCCGAGTACCACATTTACCTACGCTGCCATCTTGACTGGAAGCCTGATTCTTCCTTTTTAAAAGAAGCCTACAGTCCGACCGGTGTGGCTCGGTGGATTGAGGACCGTCCCATGGCCTGGGTCCTGGTTTGATTCCTAGTCGGGGCACATGCCCAGGCTGTGGGCCCGATCCTCAGTGGGGGATGTGCAGGGGGCAGCCGATGAATGTTTCTCATATCAATGTTTCTATTTCTCCTTCTCTCTCTAAAAAATCAATAAAAACATTTAAAAAATAGTTATAAAAGAAGCATACATTTAAGAAGTGTTCTATTTCTGAGAAATTCTCAGCCCCCCCTCCCTTTTGATTGCCCAAAGGCCTTGCTTTTTGCCATTGACACTGTATGCCTCTAACTGTCCTCTAGAAAAGGGGAAAGATGTTATATTAGAGAGAGAAAGCTCTATGGTTTAACCCAGTGCAAAAATAGTTGTATCAAAAGTTTAGGATCCATTGAAATGAAGTACCTGAGCTTGTTGATCGTCTACTTCTAGTAACATTAACGTGGGGAACATGTTACATACGACTGGCTTTCCACGTCGTCCAGCTCACTAGGTAGTTTTTGTTCAACAGCTAATTAAAGGCCCATGGCAGGAGGGAGTGAGTATACGTGATGTCAGCGCTCCCCCACTTGGCTGGTGCCAAGGAATACCCATTGAGCCCGCCGTGCCATCCTCTGTCCCTCAGGCAGGTTCCTGGCGAAGTCTGACTAGGGAAGACGTCCCACAGGCCACCACCCGGCTGCCCTTGCCCTAGGTCATGAGCTGTGTTTCTGCCCCTCATCGATCCCACTTCCCTCAAAACACAGGTCCCTGGGATCCATGCCAGAGGAGGGTGCTGTTTGGGCTGTGAACGAAGCTTCTTCCTGAATTCTGTGCTTTGTGTTAATTTGTGGTTGTTGAGTGTG